CCCAGCTGCGGGCGCCCGGCCGCTGGCTGCGCTAGGACCCACAGCCGCTGGCAGCCGAGGACTGGTGGGCAAGGAGGAGCCGGAGCCCCAGGGCCCGGGAGCCGGGCGCGGCATGTAGCTGCGGGCTCCCGCGCCCAGCTCCAGGGTGTCGGCCCACAGCCCCGCCATGGCTGGGAAGGACAGTGGGAACCTGAAGACGGTGAGGCTGTGGCGGGACGCCGCCCTGCGAGCCAGGAAGCTGCGGAGCAACCTGCGCCAGCTCACCCTCACTGTGGCCGGGGGATGCCCCGGGGCGGGCGCCGACCAGCTGGAGTCCCCCGACGCCCCCCAGCTTGTGCTGCCAGCCAACATCGGGGACATTGAGGTGCTGAACCTGGGGAACAACGGCCTGGAGGAGGTGCCCGAAGGGCTGGGGTCGGCGCTGGGCAGCCTGCGCGTCCTGGTCCTGCGCAGAAACCGCTTCGGCCGGCTGCCCCCGGCGGTGGCCGAGCTGGGCCACCACCTCACCGAGCTGGACGTGAGCCACAATCGGCTGACCACCCTGGGCGCGGAGGTGGTGGGTGCCCTGAAGGAGCTGCGCAAGCTCAACCTCAGCCACAACCGGCTGCCCTCCCTGCCCGCCCAGCTGGGCGCCCTCGCCCACCTGGAGGAGCTGGACGTCAGCTTTAACCGGCTGGGGCACCTGCCGGACTCCCTGGCTTGCCTCCATCGTCTGCGCACGCTGGACGTGGACCACAACCAGCTTACTGCCTTTCCCCAGCAGCTGCTGCAGCTGGTGGCCCTGGAGGAGCTAGACGTGTCCAGCAACCGGCTCCGGGGCCTACCTGAGGATATCAGTGTTCTGAGCGCCCTGAAGATCCTCTGGCTGAGCGGGGCTGAGCTTGGCACTCTGCCCAGCGGCTTGTGCGAGCTGGCCAGCCTGGAGAGCCTCATGCTAGACAACAACGGGCTGCAGGCTCTGCCCGCCCAGTTCAGCCGCCTGCAAAGGCTCAAAATGCTCAACCTCTCTTCCAACCTCTTTGAGGAGTTCCCTGCCGCACTGCTGCCGCTGGCTGGTCTGGAGGAACTCTACCTGAGTCGCAACCAGCTCACCTCAGTGCCACCCCTGATCTCGGGCCTGGGCCGCCTTCTCACGCTGTGGCTGGATAATAACCGGATCCGCTACCTGCCCGACACCATTGTGGAACTGACTGGCCTGGAGGAGCTGGTGCTGCAAGGGAACCAGATCGCTGTGCTGCCAGACAACTTCGGACAGCTCTCCCGGGTGGGCCTGTGGAAGATCAAGGACAACCCACTGATTCAGCCCCCCTACGAGGTCTGTATGAAGGGCATCCCCTATATCGCAGCCTACCAGAAGGAGCTGGCGCATTCCCAGCCAGCGGTGCAGCCCCGTCTGAAGCTGCTCCTGATGGGCCACAAGGCTGCGGGAAAGACCTTGCTCCGCCATTGCCTCACTGAGGAGAGGGTGGAGGGAAGCCAGGGCGGAGGAGACAAGGAGAAGAGTTACCCACCGTCACCTTCCGCCATGAGCAAGGGCATCGAGGTGACCAGCTGGACAGCCGACGCCTCGCGGGGGCTGCGCTTCATCGTGTATGACTTAGCTGGCGACGAGAGCTACGAGGTGATCCAGCCCTTCTTCCTCTCCCCGGGGGCGCTCTATGTGCTCGTAGTCAACTTGGCGACTTACGAGCCGCGCTGCTTTCCCACCACGGTGGGCTCCTTCTTGCATCGGGTGGGGGCCCGGGTGCCGCACGCCGTGGTGTGTATCGTGGGCACGCACGCGGACCTGTGCGGGGAGCGGGAGCTGGAGGAGAAGTGCCTGGACATTCACCGCCAGATCGCCCTGCAGGAGAAGCACGACGCCGAGGGGCTCAGCCACCTGGCCCAGGTCGTGGACGAGGCACTGGCCCACGACTTTGAGCTGCGCTCTGCCAGCCCCCACGCAGCCTACTACGGCGTTTCGGACAAGAACCTCCGGCGACGCAAGGCCCATTTCCAGTATCTGCTCAACCACCGGCTGCAGATCCTCTCCCCGGTGTTACCTGTTAGTTGCAGGGACCCCCGCCAGTTGCAGCGCCTGCGGGACAAGCTCCTCTCGGTGGCTGAGCACCGGGACATCTTCCCGAACTTACACAGAGTTCTGCCCCGATCTTGGCAGGTGCTGGAGGAACTGCACTTCCAGCCGCCTCAGGCACAGCGACTTTGGCTGAGCTGGTGGGACTCGGCTCGCCTGGGCCTGCAGGCCGGTCTGACGGAGGACCGGCTGCAGAGTGCCCTCTCCTATCTGCACGAGAGCGGCAAACTGCTCTACTTTGAGGACAGCCCAGCCCTCAAGGAGCATGTCTTCCATAACCTCACTCGCCTCATTGACATCCTCAATGTGTTCTTCCAGCGGGATGCCACATTACTGCTGCATAAGCTGCTCCTAGGGACCAGCGGAGATGGCGAGGTGGATGCAGAAAGCTCCTTGCTGATGGCACTGCCAGCCCCAAGCCCGGACCTGCTCAGGGCCACGCAGCTCCATCATTATGTGGAGGGCTTTCTGTTGCATGGACTCCTGCCGGCCCATGTCATTCGGTTGCTGCTGAAGCCTCATGTCCAAGCCCAGCAGGACTTGCAGCTGCTGCTGGAGCTACTAGAGAAGATGGGACTCTGTTACTGCCTCAATAAGCCTAGGGGCAAGCCTTTGAATGGATCCATGGCCTGGTACAAGTTTCCATGCTATGTGCAGAACGAGGTCCCCCATGCAGAGGCCTGGATCAATGGGACCAACTTGGCCGGGCAATCTTTTGTGGCCGAGCAGTTGCAGATCGAATATAGTTTTCCCTTTACCTTTCCACCTGGGTTGTTTGCGCGCTACAGTGTCCAGATCAACAGTCACGTGGTGCACAGGTCAGATGGTAAATTTCAGATCTTTGCATACAGAGGAAAAGTTCCTGTCGTTGTGAGTTACAGACCTGCCAAGGGGGTCTTGCAGCCAGACACTCTGTCTATTGCCAGCCATGCATCATTACCAAATATCTGGACAGCGTGGCAAGCCATAACCCCCTTGGTCGAGGAACTGAATGTCCTACTTCAGGAATGGCCTGGACTGCACTACACCGTGCACATCCTCTGTTCTAAGTGCCTTAAGAGAGGGTCGCCCAATCCACATGCTTTTCCAGGTAAGTCTGGAAGAGGGACACCTTCTGTTGGGTCCTTTAAGGTGTATTCATGAAGGTAATTTGCTTTTCGCTTGGCAGAACATTGACTGAACCTCACCGGTTTCCCAGGAAAGGTTTTCCTGGTAGACACAGGAAGTTTGGGGAGCGATGGGAGGAGAGTAGGTGTGTGAGCAGTCTGAAATGTAGTCACATTTAAGTGTGTAAGCAGTATGAATTAGTTGCACTTTCTGTACTTCCCTAATTGGAGGACTCAGACCAGGCTGCATTTCCATTTCCCTCTCCGATGTAGCCCATTTTGCATGGAAAGGAACTTCCAGGGGGCAAAACAGACTCCGAATGGTGTCTCATGGTGGCCTCCTCTGAGGGGTACTTTGAGCTTTAAGTGTGTTTTATATTTGAGGAGCCCTGGTGGCATAGTGGTTACGTATTGAGCTGCAAAAGGCAAGGTCAGCAGTTCTAAACCACCAGCCGCTTTTCTGCTCCTGCAAAGTGTTACAAGGCTTTCTGGGCCGGTGAAGCAGTCCAGTCTCAAAAACCCACAGGGGTCAGTTCTACTCAGTCCTTTGGGATCACAGTGAATTGTAATCGACCCACTGACAGTGAATTTGGTTTTGAGTTATATTCTTTGGTTTTTCAAGTCAGTGTAATTCTTAAGTAAAAAACGGTCACTCACTCTTCCTAAGAAATTCCAGAGAAGGCTGCTTTGTAATCTGGGTGTGTGATGGAGGGAAGACAGCCGTTCCGCCCATAAGGCCTGGCTCAGTGCTGAGATTGCTGCATCACGCAGTGTGCGCCAAGGCCAGGACGGTGGATGACTTACATCGCTTGGGGGGATTTCCTTGGGTATTTCCTGGTCATTTTGAGGTTTTTCCCCAGAAGTCTGTAGGGCTGTCTTTGTGGCAGTGTTTAGAGAATGGAGCTTTCTGACTGAGCAGACAAAAAGCTGACAGGAGTTCTCTCTTCTGGGAAGTGTTTTCCAGCTCTCTTTCTCTCTGTTTTCCTTCTTTAATTCAAAAAGAAAATGCTTTTATCAGTGAGTGGGAGACTTCCAGGGCCAGCTGTCTGGCATTTTGGAGGCCTGGTTAATTGATAACAGAAAAGACTTGAAAACATGTGCATTTCCACATCTCTTGTCACACGTCTCTGGTTTTTGCAGAACAGGCTCGGCCAGCAACATTCTGAGTGTCCTAAGCACAAACCCAACGGTAGTGTCATTGCTGGCTTCTCACCTGGACAACCCCTCCCCTTCCCCTCCCCCCATCTCAAGAGTACATTCAGAGGTGATGAAATGCCACTCTGCTCTTTATCCTCTTCTGAGGGCCAACAAAATGCAGCTCGTAATGGTATCTGGGCATTGGATACCAATTATTTCCGAAGGTAACCACTTTCCGTTGCCCTAGATCTAGGCTGAGTTGAACACTTCAGCCTGGGAAAACAAGTAAATAAACTCCATATTTAGTTACCAGTCAACTGAACCATTCATTCTGTCTGATCATCTGGTATCTTGCTGCCCTCTCCGCCTCAGCGACTCTCGGTTTGTTTTATATCTGCCACTGTCTTTTATGCACGGAAGCAGAATGTGTCTGTATTGTGCCGTTAAGTTGAATGAAGTGGGTGAAGTTACATTTTCACAGGGTCACTTTGTTGAAGGAGCACCCAAAAGTCAGTTCTTCATCCCCAAAGGGAGCACGAATAGAATTAATGTTATTAGCAACAAAGGGAGAGAAATAGGTCTTGAACAAGAGTAGTGAAGAGGGATTCTGAGGGCTCTGTGGGGCCTCCCAAAGGCCCCCCTGCCAACATTTCAGCTCTTTCTTTTTGATTGTGTCTAGCCATAAATTCCACTCACAACTTTGTGTTGAGACAGAAACAAGCCCACTCACTTGTTGCCTATTTGCCTTCCAAAGGAGGTGTGTCTGCTTGTGTCCCAGAGTATAAGGATGATTTACTTTTATTTATTCAGTATGCAAACAAGTGGCTGGGAAGTTGCAGAGTGATCTCATTTATTAAATAGGAATAAACCACGAGTTGCTTTTACCACACAGTGTACATTTCATACTTACCGACGGTCAGAAGAGCCTGATCTTGGGGTAGGGTAGCACTTCTAGCAGGAGCCAAGGGCACGGGATAGTGGGGGAGAGAAAATACTGCAGTACATTTTGAATTAAGACGAGAGGGTTGAAGGTACAGATGGTTCTTTAGACATTTTTCTGTGATAACCATCACTTACTGGTGACTGTCACGTTTCTCAGAGATCTGGGAAGAGCTGAGATTTTTTAAAAAGCTCGGGGTGAGCTTGGAACATTCAGAGCGTGCATTAGCAGTATGTTCGTGGATTCCCACACATTTTCATTCAGCAGGAGCATTGGAGTCTATTAGTAACCTTTTGTCTTTTTGAGAAGGCATTTTGCTTCTCAGAGACTTCAAAAATGGGCCACGTTATCTCACATTTATTGAAGCGTCAATTCTCCTGTAAACGGTAATGATTCTGCACATACGTTGAGGGGAAACCCCGAAATTTATATGTTTTCAACGTTCAGGCAATGAGTCAACAGCAAATACTGCCTCCTTTGGTTTTACACAGAACAGAACCGAACTGAACCAAGCCAAACCACCCCAAACCATTGCTGTCCAGTTGATTCCGATTCATTCATAGCAACTGTCCCCTAGGATTTCCTAGGATCTAAGTCGTTACGGAAGCAGACTGCCACACCTTTCTCCCGCTGAGCAGCTGGGCGTTCAAACTGCCAGCCTTTTGGTGAGCAGCAGAGCACCATCACCACCAGGCCTCCCCTGCGGAGCCGCGGTAAAGTCGGAGGAGTCCCTTTTCGAAAAGGAGCAGTGGACTTGGCCCTGTTCTGTTGGATCTTTTGGCTGCAGCAGCCCCCCGCCCGGCTGGCCTGGGAGCGCACTGCTAGATTTCTCTCCTCTTATTCTGGCTCACAGAAGATGTGATGTTTTGGAAAGCCCTCGGCCACCAACCACTTGGTTTTCAAAGGTTTTTTTTTTTTTTTGGTAAAGATGTAACCACATTGCCAAAGACTCCTTACCGGCCTTCCCTTCCGTCTAGTGAGTAGAGGGAAAGGAGGTTCTTTGGGGAAATCAAGGAGGACGAGGAGGGAAGGATGCTCAATGTCAAATGTGTTAGGTCTCTGTCTGCTTTCTGCAGATACTGAATGCACTGCCGGCCTCTGAGCCAGGCTGCCCTTCCTCTTCCCCTTCCTCTTACTTTTTTATTTGGCAAACCCACTGCCACAGGTGGTTTCCGACTCATGGAGAGCCGGCCGAGGGTTTCCCAGGCTGTCGTCTTAGCCGCAGCTTCCTCCCACCCAGTGTCTAGTGGGTTTGCACTACAGGTCTTGAGGTTAGTCCCACACTACCCCGGCCCCCCCACCAGGGCTCCTGCCTTTGAATTTGGTAGTCTGCACTTATCCTATGGAGCCCCTGGATGGTGTAAGCACTGGACTAAGTGCAAGGTTGGCAGTTCTACCTGACCCAGGTGCACCATGGAAGAAAGCTCTGGCATTCACAGCCTTGAAAACCTGTGCCTGGTTTATGGTTTATGCTTTTGTCTGAGAGCAACTTCCTTCTTGTGTGATAATGATTTTTGATTTTGTTCAACTCTATACACGAATAAAATCCAAAGTCAACCTCAAAAATATATATATGGGATATGAATCAGAAAAAAAGAGGACTTCTGAGGCTGGACGATGTATTTATATTGAGTATGGCACGGCGGCTCGAACATAGGCCAGGGGCAGGATCCTAATAGTTCACCTAGTTGCTATTGACTCGATTCTGACTCATGGAGATCTCACCATGTCAGAGTAGCGCTGTGTCCCGCCAGGCTTTCATTGGCCGATTTGGGTGTGGAGTGGATTGCCAGGCCCATCTTTGGGAGCACCTTTGGGTGTGTTTGAACCACCAACCTTCTGATGAACTCACAAGCAAATGAACTGTTAATACCACTCAGGGAGTGCTGTGTGTGTTTAAGTTAGAAGAGTATGTACCCTATTACGAGAGTTGGGCTTGCTTCAATAGTGATTTTCCCACAAAATATCTACTGCTCTCTAAGTTACTCAAAGTTCATTTTTAATGGCCAGAAGCAACCTGAATCAGTGGACATTTTCTTTCAGCTCAGTTTCAACCAGGAACCAGATGCCTTTGTGCATCTCCCTAGCCAAGCACCTCTGGTTCGTCTTTAATTTCATAAGCACGCTGTGTCCCTCTCTGACAGCACTTCACATCCTTAGCTGTGCTCTGTTGGTGTTGTTTACGTCATTACATCTCTCTATCTCCTTGTTCACTTGCTTTCGCCTCCCTCCAGCACGAGCCAAGCCTTAGGCTTTGTAGCTTGGTGAGAGACTCTGAGATGTTTGCTGAATTGTGTTAGGGCTTTTGGTGAGAAATACTTTGTCGTTGTTGACATCCTCTGTCAGAACTCCAGGTACACTCCTGGTGATAAACCTTGCTTTGTTGTTTCTCTGCTTCCTGAGCGTCCCTGTGGTGCTCCAGGTACGGCTCAGCTCGGTTAGGGCCCTTCCCTTGAAGGGGTCCTTCAGTTTGGCCACTAGAGCAAGGCAAACATTCTTGCCTTATTATATGTAAGTTCTAGCATGGCTGGAATTTGAGCCTGACTTAGTTGTTTGGACTGAATTAGTCATTGTTTCGCATTTCTCAAAGGCTATTAAACATCTCTTTAAGTGTAGCTTTATTAATACTGATGCTGCTTGGCTTTTCGTGTTCAGCCCTCTTTGAACTCTCGGCTTTGTTTCATATATAAAAATAAAATCCAAATCTTAATCATGGCAAGATATACTGTGCAGAATAGAATTAAAAAAACTAGAGAGGCCTTTGGAACATTCAATTATTTTCAGATGGCTATGCACCTCTGTGGAGCTCTGGTGGTGGAGTGGGGTACTCCTGGGCTGCTGAAAGTTACCGGGCCCTCTGTGGGAGAAAGATGAGGTGGTGTACTCTTGTAAAGCTTTGAAGGCTTA